CACTCAAAAACTGCTACAGGATAGCAGAGCGGAAGATTTATACCCGGATGACAAGGACAGCCGCCTTTTGATGGGAAAGGGGAATTATCATTCCAGTTCCCACCCGCAGCCTCACCTTGCACGTCCATTTCCGTATTTGTATCCCAAATTTCAGTATTTCTGTCCCGTATGATTCGTGAGCTAGAACAATATGAACAAGTGGGTGCCTCCGATGAAGTGCTGTTGTGTGTGTGTGCACACTCGTGCGTGTGTCAGGGGCAGGTGGAAGTCACTTTGTGGGATTCTGCTGGTTTCCCTGTGCTTCTGTCTCAGGAGAAAGAGATGACTTCGGGTATTTTCCTGACGGTGGTCTTGACGCCGTGTGTCCTGGGCTGGGTCTTCCCTGTCAGAAAGCCCTTTGTCTGAGAATGTGTCTAGCTTGGTTCAGCCCCCGGGCTCAGGTGTGGGCTACAGTGTGTGTGTGAACGGCTGGGAGGTTCCGGATCATGCTCATCACAGTTGACTGGCTTTTTCCTTTGGGCTGTTGAGGACACAGAGCACGTAGCTACTGGCAGCTTGTGTGCAGGGTTTATGCTTGCTGTGAGCCTGAAGTAGAGAGCATGGGCCTCTGAACAAGAAAGACCTCCGGGTGGAGTCTGGCCGCGCCCATTCCTAGCTTGGTGGCTCTCCGCAAGCCACTTTGCCTCCCTTGGTCTCAGTTTTCCCCTCTGTCAATGGGGGGTATTAATTCCTGCCTTGAACATTGATGTAAAGATTAAGGAAAACAAAACGTAAAATGTTTGGAAGGTACAGGATCTTCCTATCATTCCAGACAGCTTTGTAAACTCTCCCTACTTAATTAAAATAAAAAATGAAATCCTTTCTCCTTTAAGGATGCTGCTTTGGCCCATGACGTTGTGCCCATTATTGGTACTTTGTCCCAGCAGCATTTTCTGTAAAGAGAACCATCCTATGACTTCTGGGGGAGTAAAGGACTCCTGGCTATTGTTCGTTAGAATTCTCCAGCATGAATACAACCAAGGCCTGGAAACTGGCTGTGGGGGGAAGAAATTCTCAAGACTTAAGGTGACTTGGGTTTTCGGGAAAAGGTCGTAAGTGACTCTTTGCCCAGGAATTTTGTCTGGAAGGCCCGCTGTGACGGCTTGGCCGTCCTGGGATTGGTGAGTTTTATAGCGTTAGACCCTTTAAGGGCAGGATGGTCAAGGCCACTGAGCAATCTCAGGCCAGGTTTTTCTATCAGTGCCTCATTCACTGGCAGATATCTGGGTGCCTGTCTTGCAGGCACGTGTGCTGGGCAAGAAGGTACAGCACTGAACCGAAACTTCTGCGGGGTTCCCGATCAGTAGGGCAGACTGGCATCAATCGAAGACCTAGAAAAATAAAGATGAAATTTGTACTGGGAGGAGTGTCCTGTGGGATCCGTGTAGGGGACTTCTGAGGTCAAGTAAGAAAACCCCAGTCGGGTGAGAGAGTTCAAGAAGGACGTTCATGAAGGCAGGAGAGTTGCCAGGTGAACGGGCGCTTAGGTGGGTGCGAGGAGGAGAGCATGTATGAGGATGGGACGGAGCTGGACCCCAGACCCCAGAGAAGGGCCTGTAAGGTGGGGGAAGGAGAGAAGGGAGAGTGTAGCCTGAAAAGGTTCCTGAGAGGCCGCCAGTGGGAGCGCTGACCGGGCATGCCTTGCAGGGCAGGCGGTGTTGAAGACATTGGACTTTTCTTGAAAGCACCGGGAGCTGTTGAAACGAAAGTGGTACTTTGCATTTTGCAAGTGATCTGGCGCTGCCCTGGGTGGGCATAGGAGGTGACAAATTAGGGGACGTTGTAGCTGTCCAGACTAGAGATGGAGGTGACCCAGGGAGGGTGGCCATAGCAGAGGTGAGCCAAGAGGATGGAGTCCAGCCGGGTGGGAGCTGGAGGGGCCGGCTGCGCAGGGCGAGTTGGCACGGGCTCCCCGAACGTTGCCGGCGGGATCCATGAGAACGGGCTTTTGTATGTTGGCTCAGCGCCCATACAGCTCTGGATTGTGTCTTAAAAGCAGTGCAACCAACTAGGACATGGAATAATTTCTTCCACAGTTTTTTAATAAATATAATTATATGTTGTGTTGGTGAATTTAAGAAGCACACATTGTGTTTTTAGGTTATGATATATCTGAATGGAAATGTACTCACCATGCCTATAATTGTAGCAGTCTTTACCGATTATACTTATTTTAGAATACTACAGTTTGAAAGTCTTTTAATTATAATGTAATACATATTGAAGATAACTTTGCTGTAATTATAGAATAATTGAAATTTATATTTACCAGATTAGATGACACTGGGTTCCCGTCACTTTGCATTCCTATGGAGGTATATGCTTAAGAGTCAGTGTTAATTAATTGCAGATAGAATTGTTCCTTATACCCTGTGAAAGGAAGAGAAGAGCCACATTTTCCTGATTTCTTATAGGCTGATATGAAGAGAAATTGCTCCCGTAATCGAAGCACATCCCGGTGGGCTTGGTCAAGCACTGTGGGTTTTAACCTATCTTCCTGGCTCCCCTCCACCCTCGTCCGCTGCAACTGAGAACATTCTGATGCCTGGGGCCCTCCACGTTTTGTTAGAACATCGTAGAAGAGATGGAAAGACTTAAAGAGGCCTTAGACCAGCCCCGGAGAGGGGCCCGGTGGTTTTGTAGGCCGCAGAACAGCGGAGAATGTTGAGAAAGCGTCCCAGAGCTTGACTGCCAGCGGCTTGTGCTAGGTACACCTTCGGTGTCTGTGGACTCAGCTGAACAAATCAGCAATTTAAGAGTGGAGGACAGAGCCCCCATTTCTCACAGGGCCAACAACACCCCAGCCTTCCCTCCTAGAGCATGTGCCCACGGACAGTGGGTATCCTCAGTGGGGAGCACCTGTCCCCTCCCTGGCCAGTCCCCGGTGAGAAGGGGCACGCGCTCTCTTGGGTCCCCTGTCTGCTGCAGATGCGTGGCACCTGGGGTCCGGGGCCAGGTTCATGTGTGGGATGACGCCCCACATCCTTGGGGAGGCACCAGAGGCAGTGGTGGGGAACCTGTAGGAGGTGCTAGAATTATCCGGAGGGGTAGGCAGTGACTAACTGGAGGAATGGGTGGGCGGTCAGCTTGGACATAGGCAGGCTCTCCCGTAGGGAATTGTTGGATCAAATCCCTGCATGGAATTCACTCCTGCCTGTTGTAGACATCTCCGTGCTTTACCCGCCATCCAAGGCTTTTTCAGGCGTGGCTTTTGACTACGGAGGATTTTCCCTCTGCGTGCTCACCTACAACCTCATCCCCGCCCAGGAAGTGCCTTTTCCTTAATAAAATCCAGAGACCTTTTCTGTTGGGATGTTCTTGAAGCCTGACCACCTCTTGCTCCAAATTCAGCTTTCTCATCTGCTTATGAGAGAAAACGTGGAACTTATTCCTACTTTCAAGGCAATTTCCCCTGACCCATTCCTTCTTCAGACCAAATAGCACATTGCATCTAATGTTCTCTACATCTTTTTAAAGAGGGGCAGATGGTGACTGCTCAGGCCCCTTGCCAGGAGGCAAGTGGGGTTCCTTCGTGCGGCTGAGGCCGTGGGGCAGAAGAGAAGGAGTCCAGCCTTCTGGGGGGTCAGGCCGTGTGGGCTCTGTTCTGGCTCTCCAGCTTTCCCTGAATGACGCTGGACAAGCCGCTCACCTTCTCGAGGCCTCTGCCTCTACCAAAACAGAAGCAGGTTGGACAACCCCGAAGGCCCCCTCCGTCTCTAACATTCTGTGGTTAAAATGACCATTTATTGAGCGCCTGCTGTATACACACATGGCACTCTCATGGGTAGGGGCTGGGCGGGGAGAGTTCCAAGGCCCTGCTCTGAAGGGGTGTAGAAATGTTTTCTCTGTTCAGGTGATAGGCGAAGCCCCTGCGTGGGGACATGAGCACGGAGGCCTTTGAGCTGGGCTCTCGGGTGGTCAACCCCCTTGTCCGCACCTACAAATCAGGTCTGCAGTCACCTCTCCTTCTGACACAGTGCCTGTATTTGTCTTCTAGCATAGCAAACCTTTTCTCGAAAGAAGTAGAGCGTAAATATCCTTAGTCTAGGGGCCATACAGTGTGTGTTACGATTCCACTCTGCTGTTGTAGCAAGAGCAGGTATAGTGGTATCTGAACGAGTGGGCGTGGCTGCGTGCTAATACAACTTTATTTATGGAGATAGTTTGCTGACTTTAGAAAGTTCGAGTTTATAAAAGGTTACCGCTCCAAAAAAATAAATAAATAAACGGTTAACACTGTGTCTTAAACTCTAGAAATGGTTGCCTCATCGTAACTGGGTCTGTGGACATGGCCGGGGATTACCTCACACGGGGTATGCTCAGCACTGACTCTTCCTTTAGGTTTTCACCAGCGGAGACCTGACTGGAGGTCTTTTTGTTCCTGGGCTTGTTTTATAAGAGGAACATTCAGGACTCTCCACTGGGGAGTTACACTGACTGCCAGGGTTTCCCAGGGGCCTCCCCGAGACAGGAGAGCGGAGGCTTGCCATCTTTGTCTTCAGGGACAGAAGCTTCTGCCCGAACAGAGGCTCTTTGATTGCGGCTGACCCAACAAACCAGCGTGTACCCATTTTGGGAAACAACCACAGGCCCTCACCTTATTCATCCCTTAGGCTCTCCGGAATGTTCTAAAAAGAAAGAATACTGTCTGGCTGCCACATCTGGGGTTCTGTTGGCAGAAGTCTCTGTGGGGTTGCACAAGGCAAGCAGGCCAGTCAGGAGGGGTCACCCAGGAAGTCTTCCTGGTCGGGAGGATAAAGGCGCCCTCCGGGCACTGGAATCGACCGGAAATGGCCGGTCCTCAGAAAACAGCAACCTTACATCCTGAGTATTCCTAAATAGTTGTTTTGAGTCTGGGAAAGAGGTGATGTCCACTCCGGCCAGGACTCGAGGGAGGAAGGGCATTTATTTTAGGGCTGGTGTTTCAGCGAGCCACGCTCGGGCCTTTGTTTTGTTTCCAGGGAGAGGCGATATCCAGCCTCAGTTGGACAGTGCTCTCCAGGATGTCAACGACAAGTATCTCCTCCTGGAAGAAACAGAAAAGCAGGCGGTCCGGAAGGCTTTGATTGAGGAGCGTGGCCGATTCTGCACCTTCATTGCTATGCTGCGGCCAGTGATTGTAAGTTAGTGGAAAGCTCTGGAAGGCTTCAGCTGCCAGTTTGGAGGAGACTTTCCTTTATCCATCCACCCGTCCGTGAGTCCCGGGGAATTTGCTGTGTGTCAGGCATCATGATGGCGGAAGTGCTTCCGTCGGCCGGTGACGCTCTCCGGGTCACCGTTCCTTGTTCACGGTTCTTAGCACCGGTTATTCACTTACTCTTTCTCCCCAAGTCAGGAAGGCCTTGCAGGGTGGTTCTTAAGGTGTGGGGGTCCCTAGGTCGGCAGTGTCCCCTGGGAACTGGTTAGAAATGCAGCTTCTTGGGGCGCCTGGGTGGCTCAGTCGTTAAGCGTCTGCCTTCGGCTCAGGTCATGGTCCCAGGGTCCTGGGATCGAGCCCCGCATCGGGCTCCCTGCTCGGCAGGGAGTTTGCTTCTGCCTCTGACCCTCCCCCTGCTGTGTCCCTTTCTTGCTGTATCTCTCTCTGTCAAATAAATAAATAAAATCTTAAAAAAAAAAAATGCAGCTTCTTGAGCCCAACACAGACCCTCCTGAATCCAAACCTCTGGGGTGGGGACCCAGTCATGTGGGTTTTAAACAAGGCCTCGGGGTGGTTTTGAGACTCGGTGGCGGACTTCAACACCAGTGAGTGACTGTGAAATTAATATGGGAAGATCCTCAAGGAATCAATGCAGACTTAATTTTTTTAAGTAACTCATTTGCATGCGATAATTGAGGACTTCTGCTGTCAGCCTTCTTGACGCTGATAAGAAGACACCAGCTCATTTCCCTCAGCGCTAGCAAAATGCCCAAATATGAGTCATGCCTCTGAGCATAGAACCTTTCCGTGGCTCATTCTTGCCCAGGCCTGCAGTCCCAGCTTGGCACTTCAGTGGAGCGGATGACTTCCTTCCGTAGTCTCCTGCTCCTGTCTCGCTTGCCATTTATTAAGTTGGTGGAAAACACAAGAGAGAAGGGGGATAGTTAATGCCACTGTACACACGTGGGCTGTTACAGAGATCCGTTATCCGATCTGGACCCAAGTCACTCCCACCCGGGCCAGCCACTGAAGCGGAGTGACTTCAGAGCAGGGCCTCAGCCCGTGGAGGGGGCTGTGCTGCAGGATCCCGTGAGCATATGCAGGCAGACCATCTGAGCAGGCGTGCTAACCACCCCCCTGCCCCCACACTGCAAGGAAGGCCACGTGTTTGCTTTGACTTGCTCACCATGTCTGGGGGGCACAGTCACTCCATAATTATGGCAGATTCCTTTTTCCCTTTATGTTTCCCAAGAGAGACGGAAGGTGGTAGTGCCTTCAGCACAGATGTGCCAGTCTCGGGGCACCTTTTCTGAAAAGTTGAAAGCGTTAGACAGAAAAACAGTTGGACCAAGACAAGGAAGTGAATCACTCATGATGACAACATGTTGTGAATTACTCTCCTTCAGGAAGAAGAAATCTCAATGCTTGGGGAAATAACTCACCTTCAGACCATATCAGAAGATCTGAAAAGCCTGACCATGGACCCTCACAAACTGCCGTCCTCAAGTGAACAGGTAGGAGGCGTGGGTTGAGCACTCAGGAGAGCAGACCAAAGACATAAAGGTTCAAGGTCTTGAGGGTTCCTTGAGGCATTGTCTCATTTAAAATCCTATCGGTGTTTCACATGGTGATATATAGGCGTCATCACTGCGAGCCATTATAGAGCCCCTGCTGTGTGCCAGGTAGTGTTCTAAGCTCTTTACGCAGACTTCCTCCGCTAATCTCCACTATTATTCCCATGTTATAGAGCAGGACCGTGAGGCATGGAGAGAGAAAGGCACTTAGCCAGGCTCACCTATAGCTAATTAGTGGCAGAGCTGGGATTTGAGCCAAGTAGTCGAGAGCCCGTGGTCTTAACCATTGTGTTTATCTGTCTTCTAGAAATAAACTCTTACAGGAACATGACAGTGATCTTGGTCATCCCTGTGAACCAGCCTCACTGAATTTCTCCTATTCTAATTAATTAATGCGTGCGGCTCTCTCTTATGAAAAAGATGACATTTTTTTGTGCTTATTCATTTAGTTCACATGACAGTAACATTATATCAGGTGGGAACAGCTGATGAATCACGTGCTGGCTTTTGCCCTTTGTACAAAATTCTTATTGCCTCCCTGGAGAACCAACTCCGAAGACAAACACAAGAGTGTATATTTTCCGTTCCATGAAATTGCTTTTGTTAAAGCTCAGCCGGCGTGCATTGACTCAATAAATAGACATTTATTGAGCATCTACTGTAAGAATGAAAGGTAGACCTCACATTCACGTACTTACTTGTCAGGCGGGGGAGCCAGATGCAGAAGTAACTGCGAAAGAATTGGCTTTTGCTCCTGATTCTGCCAGGTTTTCAAATACCAAGTTGTGGTCAGATAGGGCACAAGTGACCACCGAATATCAAGCAGCTAAAATGCAAGATCAACCAATCCTGAAACCGTGACTGAAACTGTTGTGCTCGAAGGCAAAAATCCTATAAATTCTAGCCTGGATTATAAATGACTCTTGTAAATTGTTCATCTGTAACTGTAAATCAATCTCTCTGTCTTTCTCTCTCTCTTAGACTGATATTCATGGTCCCCTCCCTCCCCCTCCAATTTTTTTTATATTTTTGCTTGTGTCAGAAAAAGGGTGAGGACATTGATGGATTGGTAGTATGGTTCTTTAATTTAAAAAAAGACCTGAACAACAGTTTTTACATTACACCTCTGGATGATGGCAGAATTTTGATGTTACTGGTAAAGATTTGATGGATAACGTTTTCCTGCTCAGCTCCTTGCTTACGCACTTGGCTCTGTCCCCTTAGGTGATTTTGGACTTGAAAGGCTCTGATTACAGTTGGTCGTACCAGACGCCACCCTCTTCCCCCAGCACGACCATGTCCCGCAAGTCCAGCGTCTGCAGGTAAGTCAAGCTGGACCCTGCTCCTCCTGACACACTCGAGAAGCATCTAGAGTAGTTCTGCCATCTGCAGAATTGTTTCCTAGCAGTTTTCTGTTTGACCGTTCTTGGCTTGCTGACTGCAGAGTTTACTGGCCTCCTCTTGGAAGGATGGAAGGTTCACCATGCATCCCTGATCCTCCTTGGTGTCCTCAACCGACTGATCTTTTTCTTTGACTTTCCGAAGCCAAATGAACTTCCCCTTCTTGTGAATGAATGTTGAGAGTAAAGAGCAGGTTGGATCTGCCAAATCTGTGTCTGGTTGTGTCTCTGTACACACTTGTGTGTGTGTCCTTTCATATTTGAGCGTGTCTGGTAAACAATGAACAGTGATTTCAGACTGAAGACGCTACATCCTGACGTTCCGGAACCTGAAAATGTTGGTTGCTTTAGTGTCCTCTTTTGTAGGCTCTGTGTGTGTGTGTGTGTGTGTGTGTGTGTGTGTCTTTGACAAATCTACTGGGTTTTCAGTTTGGTGACCAAGAAAACCATCTCACTGGCATAAAACGAAGCTGCACAAGTATCTTTTCTCAGAGTGTTAGCTTCAGTCAAAACTCCCATAGCACTGACGGCATCAGCTATGAACTTGGTGGAGCGCAGATGCCCTCTTCTGGCTGATTGGCAGGCTGTGGGGGGGGAGGGGGGAAGCAGAAATTATGATGATCACCCCCAGCTGCAGTGATTTCCTCTGGCACACTCCCCTGTATTTGTCGGAGCGTCTGCACCAAGTGATTCTAGCGTGGGGCAGTCACACAGCCTTGACCACGTTAGCTGTCAGCGTTGGATGAAATTTGACAAGACTCTCTTGCCAGGAGAAGAAACCGCAAACTTTCTAATCCTGGGCTGGGTTGTTTGTTCTCTCCCTTCTGATACTTCTATGACTGTACTTTATATATCAGTTCTGGTGGTTGGGACCACAGAACTCTGTTCAGGTTTCTGGTTTTCGTAATTTGAGTAATTACCGTGCAGAGCGTTATTCGTTAGGGCTGGAAATGGAAGCAGACAACACCTCCAGGGAGTGTATCACTTCTCGACATCCTGTTGACTGTTCATCTCAGAAGCAAACAGCTTAGCACTGACTCCCTGGTGGTGTTGAAAGCTGCCTGCCTCTCGCCAGGTGTGCTGGTCACACCCAGCCCACAGATATTGTCACAGACTCCTGTGGTCAGGGTAAAGCCATTCATTAAAGCATCAACTTTTTTAATAAGAGGTAAAGCACGGTGACACGGACACACTGAGTTGATTTGCTGATGTTCTTTACGATGGTCTTGAACCAGGTTCATGTAGGATGGAATCACCTTGAGGAGTCCCTTGGCACCTGCACTTCCAAGGCGTCGGTTGTCTGGGTTGACCTTGGTTTCCTGGCTCTAGATGGTCCATCTGAGGGAGACACTCGAATATTCTAACCGGGTGGCGCTGCAGCCTCCTGGTTTTTGCTACAGGGTCATGGGATTCTGCGAGCAGCTGAACAGAGACAACTAGTGCCATCTTCTCCTGCCACAGACGTTAGGTCTCTAGCTTTGGTGGTAGATGACGTGGCAGCATCGGGTAGCGCTGGACTCTTTAGAATCATGGGCCTCCATGCTAAGGGCACCTCATGGCACCATCAGAGAAGTGAGTTCTGGCAGACTCCTGGTTGATGATTGCTCCAGTTTTCTCTCCCCTGCTCACGTGAAGAAGCTTTTGTTTGCTAGCTGAATCATCCGGTGGTTTTGAAACCATGCCTTACCGTTGGCCCCACTTCTCTGTGGCAGGTAGCTGACTGCATTATGTTCTGCCCCTCCCCCACCCCCACCCCGTTTTCCGTGTCGCTCCTTCCCCCCCCCCACGCCTGCCCCCTCTGCTTGCCCCCACAGCAGCCTGAACAGTGTGAATAGCAGCGACTCGCGCTCCAGCGGCTCCCACTCCCACTCCCCCAGCTCCCACTACCGCTACCGCAGCTCCAACCTGGCCCAGCAGGCGCCCGTCCGCCTGTCCAGCGTGTCCTCCCACGACTCAGGATTCATTTCCCAGGACGCCTTCCAGTCCAAGTCACCGTCCCCCATGCCGCCAGAAGCCCCCAACCAGGTAAGGGGGCCCCGGGCTCCAGAAGCGGCTGTGGCGTCTAGTGCCCGGGCCCCTGCCCGTGGCTGCAGCCAGGGGAGGACGTTGGCCCGGACAGACCCCTGCCCTCTTCCCGCGAGACACACCTCTGGTCTAAGCTCTCACCTTTAGATGAGTTGTTTCCCCAAAGGGCGAGAACTCTAAGTTGGGGTTGAAGCCTGTCTCCGTGGTGGTGATGGTCATGTCACCCCGCTGGGTTGGGGAGTTCTCTTGCGCAAGGAGACGGACCACGCTCTGGCGTCCCTGTAAGTGTCCGGCTCAGCATGGTGCTTACCTAACGACACTGGTGCAGAGGGGGGCCCCGCCGTCTCCGCTGCCCTCCGAGCGGTGGAGATTCCTGGAAGCCTTCCGGGGCGCCGCCCGGTTCCCTGTCGCAGTTGGTGCAAGAATGAGAATGGATCCTGAGAGGCCTTGCGGATGGCTTCTGTTGGCATTCTGCTCCCGGGAGGAGGGAAGATGGGGAATCTTTCAACCACAGCTGGGTTAGGCGGCGGCGCTAGACCGAGCGCGGCCCAGCCCAGCGGTTGCAGCAGGGGCAGGGGCTGGAGGGGGCATTGGGACGCCCTCCCCCTGCTGCCCTCTCGGTCCCCTCCCCCCACCCTTATCCCCTAGCGTCAGGGGCCCGGCTTCCCCCTTAGTAAGCGGCCCGCGCGCCATCTGCTGGGGAGCGAGGTGCCTCAGAGCCCGCTGCGCTCCCTGGGGCTGCCCACAGCCTTTGGTCCGGGAGCCTGTGGACTCAGAAGGTCATGTGCTCGTCTTGTTTATTCAGGTACCCAATTTGCGTCACAGCCCCTGAGTATCTACCGTGTACCCGGCACCACCCTAGGACACCCCCCCCCCCCGCATGCTGTCTCTGTCGTCCTTCCGACAGCCACGGGGAGTATTGTTATGCCTACTCGGTTGTGGAAACAGGGCCTCAGAGATGTGACTTCCCCATGTTGCGCTACCACGTGACCTGCAGGTGGGGGGGGGCGCAGAACAAGGGCTTCTCGTGCCTGATCCAGAGCCCTTTCTGTTCTTTCTCAGCCGTAAGGTGTCCTTGGAAGTGTTTGGGGGGCACTTCATGGAGAGGAAGCAGCTGCACTGTTGTGGGAATTTAAGCCAGAAGGCTGCTTGCCTGACGTGCCTGACATTGCTGAACCCAGAGGCTCTCAGCTCAGTGGGCCCTCTGGCATTTTCCAGCGCTCTCAGGAGACTCTCGCTCCGTCCTCCTGGGATGGAGACTCGACCTCACACAGAAACATCGAGGGCCAAGAGCCTTGGCTTTAAGCGCTAACATGCTTGTCCTCGCGGGGGCACTCCGGCCTGGTCTGTCAGGTGTCCCCCGCCTGTCGCCCGCCGTGTGCGCACTAAACCACACCTGTGTGTCTTGAAATCAGTGTGACTGGTTGGAAGGAGAACAGGAATGTTTGACTCTTCCAAGGCTGTTCCTCTGCGCGGCCGAACTCTGTGTGTGTTGTTAGTGGACGCGTTAACACGGTATGGTGTGCTGACGCTCCTTTCTAAACGGAGGCCTTGTGCGCCAGCCTTCCCGTCACACTGTGTGTGTGGATCAGGCTGAAGCGAGTGCTTCTGCCTCCAGCTACGCTGAGGGAAGCAGAAGGTGGCGTGTGGGGATTTACTCAAATCGGAACGCTGGTGCCCAAGATCTGCTTGGCTAGCCACTCTAGGGTAGTCTTAATAAGCTCAGGGATGCTGCAGAATTTAATAGAGAATTCTAGTTTTACAAAAAGGCATTAGGGCTGCGTATAGTTGTAAGGTACAGGGGAGGTTTAAGGAAATCGTACAAATCACATAGGCCGGAGCAGTTATTTAGGACGTGAGGAAGGGAACACACATCTCTAAGGGGCAAGACCCCTTCATTGCTCCCCTCAGTCTCATGACTCGAAGTGAGTGCCGTGTGATGGAGCACGTTAAGGATTCTCCCGTTTTCCTACCCGGTGCTCTTTTCAAGTCGTACCTTAGTACCTTAGGAACGGGGCTGTGTCTGTGGTGAGGGCCTCATCCTAGGGCTGTCCATTCCATCAAGGTGAGAGGATCTTTAGGAAAAATGAACAGAAGTCAAAGGAAATAGGAACCCACAGCCCTGCGCTGGTTTACGGGCTTTCTTTTCAAGTTGAACAGACTTGAATTGGAGGGACCAAAATGAACAGCCCTGGCAAATTACAGAGATAACCGGCTTCTCTGGACACAGACGCACACATACCCGTACGCTTTCGCCTTATCGTCATCCATTAAAGTCTCATTTTGTCGTCTTCTGTTCGATATTACTGATTCCTAAAGATGAAAGAAATTGAGGTTTAGATTAAGCCCAAGGTTCCTCCACTGAGAAGTGACAGAAATGTTACTTGAATCCGAACCCCTCAAACTTTGGTTCCAGGACCGGTTCACCAGACCCCGAGCTTGAGGGGCCGCCAGGGCACCTGCCACGGAGCCTGTCCTTGCTCTGGTTCCACGGGGCCCCGTGCAGCCGGGTGTCTTCTTGGAGCCTCGCTGCTTGCAGGACGGAGAGCCCGGATGGAGATGGTTGGCAGGAACTTTTCTTTTTCTGGCGGTGAAAGAAGTGGACAGAAACATGAGTCCGGCCTCCTTGGCAGGGGATTCGGGAACACTTTGGGGGAAGTAATAGTAGACCCCAGTAGGGTTGGGCTTATTTAAACTAAAGGACGAGCCAGGGATTGCAGTTAGCTGTGAACAAAACTTACAGCAAATACCTGGGTGTGCCCAAAGCACTATCCCAGGGGACTCAGTTTCTACGGAAGACTTGGTCATTGTCACGCATCCATTCAGTAATTCTGAGCACCTGCCACATGCCAGGACAGGACTAGAAAGTTGAGACGGGTTGGTGAGCCCCCTGGCCCAGTCCCTGCCTGAACTGAATGTCAGGAGACTGACCTGGGAGCACAGACCCTGGCCGACGGCGGGGCGGGGCGGGGGGGGGAACCCGCAGACTGGAGGTTTAATAAAGATCGCACAAAGGGATGTTGTCCCAAGTCAGACCTCCTCTCTGTAATGGCCCCGATCTCACCAGATGCTTCCTCCCTCCCTGGATGCCACTGGAAACGTTGCGCTGAGCTCAGGGCTTCACTGTCCCAAACCTCAGAATCATTTCCCAGGCAGAGAAACCGAAAAACCTGTCCTGCGAAGATGCAGCTTCAGAGCTGGAAACCGCCCTTCATGGGCGCAGAGGCTGCACGTGACCAAGGGCGAGACCGGGAGTTGGAGACGTTGGAGCTGAAGCCCAAACTGGGGGGGCGGGGGGGCGGTGTGTGGAGGGGGGCTGGGGTGTCAGTCCTCAGCTAATAGAGGGGCCTGTGCACTTGGGAGATGCCAGAGGCAGCCCTCCCCTGGGACCTGGGCTTGTGGCGTGAGGAGAGATGCCCCAGGGAACACCGGGAGTTCCCGCCCCTGACCTGCGCCCTGCACAGACTAGACACACCCAAATTGGGGTCCCGGGTACGGGGTGCTGACAGACTGGCAGGTCTGGGCCTTGCCGCGTCTCTGGCTTCTTTTCGAGGGCTTGGAAGCCTGTGTGTGTGTGTGTGTGTGTGTGTGTGTGTGTGTGTGTGTGTGTGTGCGTGCAGTTTTGGGGGGAAAAAAATAGCCCTAACCCTCTGCTTCTCTCATCCTTCCCTCTTCTGTGTATATGTCTCTCTCTCTCTCTCTCTCTCTCTCTCTCTCTCTCTCTCTCTCT